GTCTAGAGAAAAAGGCGTGTGGAAGGACTTCCCAGCTCCTCTCCCCACACCCATGGGACACTCACATTGTTGGCTTCTCGGACCAGCCTCTGTTCGTTGTACAGAATATGCCGGATGCAGCGGACCAGCTCCATGGGGCAGCGGTCATACGTGTTCTGAAAGAACCCAATGGCAGTTACCACTGGCTACCCGCCACTCCCACTATGCCATCACAGTGCCACGTGCTCCCCATCACCTTCCTCTCCTCCAGCCTCTGCCTTGGCTTTCCCTGAGAAACCTCAGGAGCCGTCAACAGACATCTTTATCTCTCCTTGACTCGATTTCCCCTCCCAGATCTTCACATTTGGTTTAGAAACCCACAGTTTACAAAGCACTTCCAATCTGCCATCTCCTTTGACTATATAGACAGTATGACACACACAGAAACTATTATCCGCATTTTGCAGATGAGAAAACTGATGCTCAGAGAGGTTAAGTACTTGCCCAGAGGCAAACGGGTTTGCAGAGGACTCAAGACTTGCGGCATCCAATGCCAAGGTCAATGTACTTTCTACCATACCCCTGGCCCTGGGTTCCTATTTTGCTTTCCTCTTCCAGCTTTCTCCTGTTTCCTCCCTCTTCTGGGATGGACTTTTTATTTCCCTGGCACCCTGCTGCTTGCATTTAAGAAGAGCTCTCTAAGAAATACAAGTTAACTTCCAATAAATGCTTGACTGTGATTACTTTATCACCTACACCTTTTTCCTGCTTCCACAGAAACTTTCTCTCTCCTCTATACTCCTCCCCCTTCCTCCCCTAGACCCCCAGTGAAGGAGAAGTTACCTCTTACATCTAAATCCTTCATTAAAGCTTCCTTTATCCAGCTCTTGCCTCCAGGGCAACTCTGTTCCTCTCCTACCCAACTACAGACTTCAGCGGCCCTCCCACCTTTAAAAGAGTCCTAGGAGGGGGCGCCTGGGTGGCTCAGTCGGTTCAGCTTAAGCGTCCTACTTCAGCTCAGGTCATGATCTCACAGTTCATGGGTTTGAGCCCTGCATGGGGCTCTGTGCTGACAGCTCAGAGCCTGGAGCCTGCTCCAGATTCTGTGTCTCCCTCTCTCTCTGCCCCTCCCCCGCTCACTCATTCCCTCATTTCTAGGAGCTGTCAGTCTTCTTTTCGCCAGCAAAGGAACTTGGACTCAGTCCACCTCCATCCCTTTTGCTCGATCTGTTTAGAATGCCCATCTTCCTCTTCTTGGGGACAAACACACCCTACCCCTTGCTTTGTCGTATGGTAAGGGAATCTGACAGGTCTGATTTAGAAAGAGGAGGTGGGGGAAATTGAAGAGCAGAAAAGTTGCCGATTAGCTCAGGGTCACATGGTGAGTCAGTGACCAGGCCAGGAAAAAACCCAGGGGTTCTGAGGCTGGAAAGAGAAGGCAGACACTGCTTCCCTGCTGAGGACCCAGCCTTCACACCCACCTGGAGCTGCGTGGCATAGTGCCCCAGTTTGATCTTCAGTAAGAACCCATCTTCCCCCACTTGGTGCTCCGCCTTCTTCTGCAGCTCCTGCACCAGGCCCTCCAGGAGCTGGGTGGCCTGGGCTCGGTCCTGGGGATTGTCCAGGTCGATGGCATCCCTTGGGGCAGAGGAGAGAAGCCTACTGTTGTGCTTCCTTGGGCAGGGAGGTCAGGCACCAAGAGGTACTGGGAAATCCCAGGCTCCAGGCTAAGGGCACTCCAGAACCCACAAGCCTTGTTCCCAGCAACTCCATAAGCATCAGAGTCCAGAATCACCCCCTCTCCCCTCCCAGGGTCCCATTTCCCTGTTCCCCTTTCCCAGGGACACCACCCCTTCTGCACGGAGGGACAGACGGGACTAGAATCACTCGAAACCACAAAGAGGAGAGCTAAAGGTCAAGGGGCCTGGGTGGGTGGTAGGGACCCGCAGAGCATGGCGCAGGGGAGGAGCACCTACCACGGCTGGCTCTCGATCCAATGCGCTAAGTAGTGCCGAACCTCGATGGGGAAGTGCTGCCCGTACAGCACCTGCATCTGGCGCAGCGCATCTCCCTGCAGCTGCTGGGCTTGGATCCAGCCCGCCATGTCCGTTCACCTAGGGCGAACGGAGGGCTGCAGAGGCGTCTCCACGCCAGAGGCAAGGGCTGGGCCTGTCTCTGGCCCTGCCATGCCCACCCGTCCCTGGACCGCGGTCAGGCCAGGCCCCTCCCCTCCCACAGACAAGCTTTCCTGTGCGGGAAGAAAGACGGTGAGGAGGGGAAGGCCGGTCTGCCCTCCAACAAGGAACCCGCGGAGGCTTGGGGAGGGGCTCTCGAAAGTCAGGTGCCCTCCCCCTCTTCCTCTCCCCTCGCCCCACCGGGGCTTCCCCAGAGGGGGACAGCTAGAAAACTGAAAGAGAAACTTGACGCGGAGGCCCACGGGCCCTCTGGGTAGGGCTGCAAGAACCCCCCACCCTGCCTCGAACCCCGAGTCCCCATTTCTGGCGGGAGGGGTGTGTATTATTCCAGACCAAAGTTAGGGCAACGGCACCGACGGCTCCCACTGAACGGCTCGGTCCCCGCGGGCACGTGGCTGGGGTGGTTAAGAAGGGAGAGCTGCGGTGACAGACGCCGCCTTGACCGCCCCCCCCAAACCCCAAGCCGTGCCTCACGGTCTCCCACTCTCCAGCGCGACAGCGCCCCCTGCCCTCTGCGGGCGGGAACGGCGCCCACCCTCGGCCCCCTCCCTCGGTCCGCGGCCAGCGTCCCGCGTCCGCGCCCGCGCCGGCGCCCGCGCCCAGGCTCCCTCTCGGTCCGGGACAGCGGTTCCCGCGCCCCGGCCGGCCGTCGGGTTCCAGCTCCGGGGTCGCGGGGGGGCCGGGGCGGGAGTCGAGCGTCCCATCTCCGCGTGCGCCGC